ACTTACTACAGTTACATGCCACAAATTAGGAATTAAAGTTTCTCAGCCGGGAATTTTACCTAATAACACTTTCTTCATAATTAAACACCAGGAGTCTATAAACACCTATTTCTCCCTAAAGATAATCAGATACTTATAGTAGGTAATAAAAGATGGCCTTGTTTCCTAGAAGAGTGATTAAGTAACCTGCTTAGAAATGTGTGTGATAGGAATATCTGGGTGGCTCAGTGGGTTAAGCCTCTGCCTTTGGCTCAGGTCATGATCTCAGGCTATTGGGATCAAGCCCCGCACTGGGCTCTCTGCTCAGCAGGGAGCCTGCTTCCTCCTCTCTCTCTCTGCCTGCCTCTCTGCCTACTTATGATCTCTGTCTTTCAAATAAATAAATAAAATCTTAAAAAAGAAAAAAGAAAGAAAAGTGTGTAATAAATGGCAGAGTTATCTGGTTGCAAAGTCTATATTCTTTACACAAAATCATACTAGGCTTGAATAATTCTTCCTTTGCCCTCTAACTCACTCCACTGAATACATGGTAGGTGCTCAATGAATACTTACATGGTTGGAATAAAAATCAAAAAGATTTAGTTATTAAGTTATTGTCTAAAGTCACAGCACACAGAGGTAGATCTAGAATTAGAATCCACTCCTTTCTTTCCTGGGCCATTACTCTCTTCGCTATTTTTTGACCTGCAGACACTTATTATTAACCTCCACTATTTATCCTCTAGTATGTGCTTTCAGAAACTATATGGGGTCGGGCATATTTAGGGATCTTCTTACTAAGCTATTTAATGCATGAAACTTTCCATTGGTGGAATGCTGGAGAAGCATTTTGTGGACAGAAGGAAAAAAAAGGAGGCTATTTTAAACATTGCTGAGAGAGTTTGGGCAAAATCCATCTGGCAAACAGACTATTTCTTCTGTTCAAAAACTCATCAAGCACTCTAAACGTGTAACCTGTAGGCAAGTTTAATTAAACCTTGAGAAATCTCAAAATAACCTGACATTTAAATATGTTATTTCCGTTCTGCTCTCATTGTCTGACACACACAGAGACATTCTTAGGCCCAAATTAAGCTCCCCAGTGCCATCTAGCCCTGCCTAACTACTGGATTACCCTGTGCACAAGGCAACAGGAATGTAAATGAAATAGTCTTATTCTATCATTGGCCTTCAAATACCAACATCCATTTCACAGAAAGACAAGTAAGAAGATAGATAGGAAGTTAGATGGATGGAAATAGATTGATAGGCAGGCAGATAAGGTAAAATTCATTCCTCTTCAATAAAAAGAAAAAAAGTGAAAGCAAACTTGTCTTGGGAAGAACCTTAGGAAAGGAGTAAATAATAAGTTTTGGGGGTGGTGTGCCTGGGTGGCTTAACAGTTAAGCCTCCAACTCTTGATTTTGGCTCAGGTCATGATCTCAGGGTCATGAGATTAAGCCCCCTGTTTTGTTCTGAGCTGGGTGTGGAGCCTGCTTGATATTCTCCCTCTCCTCTTTCTCTCTGCCCCTTTCTCTTTGGAAGGAAGGAAGGAAGGAAGGAAGGAAGGAAGGAAGGAAGGAAGGAAGGAGAAGGGAAGGAAGAAAAGGAAGGGAGGGAGGGAGAAAGGTGGGGAGGGAAAGAATGAGGAAGGGAAGAAAGAAAGGCTGTTTTTGCCATGGAACAAGAAATTTAAAATGTGAAGTCACCAAACAAAATAAATAGTCATTTAACATGGTCAACATTTATGGATTCCAAATATCTTCTTTATGTATTGAGGGAGTATTTACATTTCTAAACATCCTGGATAGACCTGGACCAAGTTCAGTGAGAACTGCTGGAAAGAGGCTCTGTTTGATTCCTTAAGGTGGCCTAATTAGGACTTTTTCCTCCTTTTTTCTGTCTTCTCTGTTTTCACCTGAGCATTCAACTCTCCTTTTTTAGCATGTCAGTTATACTTCTTTTAAAGACATTTTAGTGGTAGCCCTAGAGTTTGCAATATACATTTTTTCACTTTTTTTTATTAACATATAATGTATTATTTGCTTCAGAGGTACAGGTCTGTGAATCCTCAGTCTTACACAATTCACAGCATTCACCATAGCACATACCCTCCCCAATGTCCATAATCCAGCCACCCTATCCCTTCCCTGCCAACCCCCCAGCAACCCTCAGTTTGTTTTGTGAGATTAAGAGTCTCTAATGGTTTGTCTCCCTCCCGATCCCATCTTGTTTCATTTTTTTCCCTCACTGCCCCCCATGACCCCCCACTCTGCCTCTCAAATTCCTCTTGAATGCAAGCTGGTGCAGCCATTCTGTGATACACATTTGAAACTAATTTAAGTCTACCTTCACAGAACACAACCTATGGAGCAAGAACCTTACACAGTATTACCAATTCTTCCCTAGCAGCCCGTAAGTCATTCATTTCATTTATCCATTTTCTATAAATCACCCAAAGCATTGTTATTTTATTATTTAAAATTATTTTAGGTCAAAATTAAGAATAAGAAAAACAAAGATTTTAGTTTTATTTTACCTTTATTCCTTCTCCAATGTCCTTCATCCTTTTATGTAGACCTGAATTTCTAACCTACATTATTTTCTTTCTTCCTGCAGAACTTCTTTCAACATTTTTGCAGAGTAGGTGAACTAATGTTGAATTCCCTCTGCTTTTATTTTTCTAAAAATATCTTTTTTCTTTTTCACCTTGAAAAAGTAATTTCACTGTACATAGAGTTCTAGGTTGCTGATTTTGTTTCTTTCTTTTTTTTTTTTACTATTTTTATTTTTATCAAAATACATAATTGGCATATAATATTGTGTAAGTTTTAGGTGTACAACATATTGGATTTAGAAATTCATATATATTGCAATATAATTACCACCACTGCATTAGCTAACTTCTATCATGTCTAGTTATAATTTCTTCTTTGTGGTGAGGACAATTATGATCTAATCTGTTAGGACCTTCAACACTATATTTCTCTCCCCTCTCTTCTTAATTGCATGGCTTCTCATGAAAAGTCTGCTGATTATTATCCTTATTCCTCTTATAGGTGTTTTGTGCCAATCTAAACTTATCAATAACCCAATGTTGTGGTTGGACTGGCCTTTCTGGTTTTTATTAAGATTGTAAGACACAGGGGCACCTGGGTGGTTCAGTTGGTTAAGTTTCTGCCTTCAATTGAGGTCATGATCTCAGGGTCCTGGGATCGAGCCCCTCCACACTCCCTGAACAGGGAGTCTGTTTCTCCCTCTCCCTCTGCCACTCCCCCTGCTTACTCTCTCACTCCCAATCTCTGTCAAATAAATAAAATCTTCAAAAAAAAAAAAAAAAAGATTGTAAGATGCCTTTCAGCAACAAACATTAGGAAACCTTGAAAAAGTACAAATTTATTACTTACAAGACCTCAAAAATTACACAGCCCACCTGATGCCACACACCAAGGTCACAGAGAGGGAAAGAACGCAAAGGCCTGGGGTTCTGCTTCTATTGGGGTTGAGAATGGGGGTCTAGGATTTTGTGGGCTCACTTTTTATTAGTGAATTTAAAATATAAGAGCAGAAATTTAAAGTATGGGAAGTGAAAAAAAAAAAAGCTAGCCCAATGGTTAGTTATTAAACTACATCTCTAAAACAAAGCCTCACTGGGGGAAGGTAGTCTGGCTTTTTAGATAATTGGGTGGCTGGCAATGTATTTAGTGAAGATCAGCGTCTTTGAAGTGAATGACTCTTTGAAATGGCAATCAAGCTTAGGTCAAGCACTTGGATTTCAAAAACAGGAATAAAACACAACTGTCAGAGGTAGGTACTTATTGTTGTGATAGTCTTCAAGCCTCCTGGATCTGTGGTTTAATGTCTGTCATTAATTTTGGAAACTCCTTGGCCATGATTACTTCAAGTATTTTTTCTGGTATTAAAGAATGATATATGGTATGTATTTATTTTATGTATATGTACACACAAAAGTTACATATTTACTTATACTTTTTGAAATTGTCCTATAGTTTTTGAAGTTTGGGAGCAGGTTGTTGGGGTTTTTTTTTTTTCATTCTTTTTTTCTCTTTACATTTTAGTTTGGGAAATTTCTACTGACCTGTCTTCAAACTCATCTGTTTTCTTGGTCATGTGCAGTGCACTGATGAGCCAAGCAAAGTCCCTCTACATTTCTGTCACAATGTTTTTTATTTCTAATCTTTCCTTTTGAATTGCCTTAGAATTTCACTCTCTCTCCTTACATTTCCCATCCATTCTTATATGATGTCTACTTTTTCCATTAGATCCCTTAACATATTAATCAGAGACATTTTAAATTCTCTGAGAATTCCTATATCTCTGTCATATCTCAGTCTGGTTCTAATGCTTTCTTTGTCTTGTTATGCTGTGTTTTTCTTGTTTTTTTAGTCTGCTTTATAACTTGTTGTTGGAAGCTGTACATGATGTAATTGGTAATAGGAACTGAGGTAGATAGGTCTTTAGCATGAGGTTTTATGTTAATCTAGCTAGGAGTTAGATTGTCTTTAATATTTGCTGCAGCTCTAGGTGTTAGAACTTCCAAATCTCTCTGAAATGCCCTGTTTCTATCTCCCCTTTTGACTTTGGCCTTCCCTAAGAAAGTCTGCATCTTGCAGCTATAATCCACTATTATTATACAAGAGCCCCATTAGTCAGTTTTATGGGGAACAAAGAGGATGGGGAAGATGAAAAGTGAAGCTAGAGAAACAAATAGAGGATATCCAGTCTAAAAAGACTGTGAGCTTCTGGAATCTGGGGTGGAATCTCATGGGGCACTGATGGCTACAAGTCCTTCATTTGAGATGGGATTTCAAAACAAAACATGTTGAAAACTGTTGCCACTTCCATCACCACCACATCTAACTTCCTCCACACAATCACCTGAACTCTCATCTTCATCTTTCCAAAGCAGTGTAAATGGTTAAAATATTTTATACCTATTTTTTTTAATTTTGGTAGAAGACTGAAACTGGTGATAAAGATTCACTTCTCTCCTCTTTCAGCCTCCTAGCAGCAAGAGGAGGAAATCGTCGAACCGCCAATGTGATAGCCCATGGGTTCGCCAATCTTTTAACTCTAGACAAAAAGACCCTCCAACAAATTCTAGTGCATTATCCAGATTCTGAAAAGCTCCTCATGAAGAAAGCCAGGTATGACCTTTAAAACCCCATTAGAGTTTGGGCAGTTATCAACTTTCTCCATGAGATGCATTTAGCAAACAACTATATATGCAACTATCTGTTGAAAACTTCTCAGATTAGGAGAAAATGTTAGTGTTTTTGATAGGTTTTTCCAGAATTCTTACAGTACTATCTAAAGTAGCCTTTCTCAGGGTGCTTGGGTGGCTCAGTGGGTTAAAGCCTCTGCCTTCGGCTCAGGTCATGATTCCAGGGTCCTAGGATTGAGCCCCACATTGAACTCTCTGCTCAGCAGGGAGCCTGCTTCCCCCCCCCCCACCGCCTGCCTCCCTGCTTACTTGTGATCTATCTTTGTCAAATACATAAATAAAATCTAATAAAATAAAATAAAATAAAGTAGCTTTTCTCTTCTATTACAGTGTGCTTCTAAAGAAGAAAGCTCCAGGCACAGAGGCAACTCCTCCAAGAAAAGGACTTGCCTTTCTCTTCCCACCAAAACAAGAGACACCTAAAATGTTTAAAGCTCTCCTGGGAGGTACAGGAAAAGCAGGACTTGCAAGACTACTCAAATTGAAGAGAGAACAAACCATTCAGGTGATAAGACAGAGTGGATGGAGGGCTATAACAGACCACTGGATTAAGTATACCCAGACAAGCTCCTGCTTTAATTCAATTTCAGACACTGGGATAGTTTGGATGCGTCTAATGTGAATAATTACTACTTTATTTATAGCATTTATTATTATCTAAACTATATCCTCATGTATCATTACATGTAATACTCATGTTTTATTATAGATATTTTAATACATATGTATATATAAATACATTCAGCTCTCATTATTTGTATATTCTGTATATTTGCCTATCTACCTACTCACAGAAATTTCTTTATAAACCCAAAGTCAGTGTTCAACATGGTCATTTGCAAACATATGTATATGCAGAGCAGTGAAAAATTTAAGTTGCCCAATGCACATGTTCTCAGCTGAGGTTGAACAGGAAGACACTCTACTTTCTTGTTTTAGTTCTCACACTGTAAACAAGTGACCTTTTCATGGTCTATTTAAGTGCTTTGTTTTTCTCATTTTTGTACTTCATAAAGATGAAGTACTACCCTGTGTTCATAAGCACAAAAATGCTCTGATGTGCCTTACAGAGAAAAGACACATGTTAGGTAAGCGTCATTCAAGCATGAGTTACAGTGCTATTGGCCTTGAGTTCAATATAATGAAACAATATATGTTGAATAAATGTCTCTAAACAGAAATACACATAAAACAAGGTTATGTATTGACTTGTTGACAAAAATTTGTCAACAGAGGCTCATAGGAACAAAATCTTGCATTATCTCTAGGAGCAATGGTTCAGTATTTGCTAATTTTCTGTTTGTGGCATCTTTATAGAACAAAACTACCAAGAATAATTAGAATCAATTGCATATGTATAAGCACACATATAAACCTATAAATATATAACATATTTTACCAGTGAGCCAATAAATATCTTCACAAATATTCAATCATTTATATATCACAAATGTTAATAGCCAAAAATAACTTCATAGATTTCATCCAAGCCCTTCTTGTAATAGATGAAGAAACTGAACTCCAGATCAACTTATTTGGATAAGATCACAAAAAGTGACAGAGAAAAACTATTACTCAGGTACTCAGACTTTTAGGCCTACACTGAGCTGCCTCTCAATTCTTAGAAACTTCAAGATACTCAAATGTTATTCTTTTTCTCTCTTGATTTTCATATTTCTTTGATTCTTGTAATAAGCCTACGAGGGCAGATATTGAAGACGGAGCAGGGATTCGGGTTTTCTGAATCTAGTCATGTTATCTATAACAACTGTAAGAAATGGGTGGCTGTGGATCTTTCAGAAGATCATTAAGCAAATATTATAAATCAGTCACACTCAAGAGACTAAAACTTGCCTTTCCTTTTTCACACACAAAGGCTATGGTAAAAATTAGGAATAAAATATAAACCAAATGCCTCATTTAATCAGCATGGAAGTAATAAGTTATGTAAAAGACTTATGGGGTACTGAAATATAGGTCATTGTGTTAAATAAGTTTCCCAGCTTTACATGTGCACATTCATACCTTGTACAAACCTTTCTTAAACTGACCTGAAGCATCATCAGCAAAGAGCATAGTATATTTTTTGCTATGAAATTTCTACAGATGATACTAAGCATAAGAGTTCCTAAAATCATAGAGCTCAAGCACCCATGGGACAAATGGAAAAGACTGTATGAAGAAAGAGAGATAAGTTTCTCCCTGAGATTCTCCCATGAGCTTATGCAGCAGGAAAACCATACTTTCTATAGTATTTTTATAGCATTTGGTTCACCCTTTTTTATTAGAAAATAAATATTTAAAATTTCATCTTCATAAAATAAATAAGTACATACTTTTAAGGCAAAAGCAAAGAATCCTGAGCACTAAGTCCAATAATTCAGAGAGCATAAGGACCAATGGGAAGAGAATTTCTTGTCAGGGACAAAAATGAAATCCAGAATTACTCTGTTAGGTCAAATGTGACAGCTCAACCTCATTCTTGCAGCACATCAGAAAGTTATCAAATGATAGTCAAATGCAAGGCAGACATGATTCCCACATTAATTCAGAGAATCTGCCTTGGTAGTGATCCTTAGCCATTGTATATTAATCAAAAGAGTCCAGTGTTCCTTTATTATGATCTCAAAACCAATTCTTGTAACTGCTTCTTCCAGAAAACAAGTGAAAATTCTGAAGAAGGAGAGGGTAAAGGAGCAGAATATGAAAATAAAGGAAGAGAGCCATCAGAGAAAACACAGGACAGCTCTGAATGTAGAGCAAATTCTATTACAGCAGAAGAACCCCAGCCGATTACAAGCGGAGCTTTACCCGGAGGAACTACTCATCAGTCCCTCATCATCAGCATGGCTCCTTCTGCAGAGGCTGGGGAAGAGGTTCTAACGATTGAAGTCAAAGAAAAGGCTAAGCAATAAATGTTTGATTATCTTTAGATATAATCTAGCTAATTCCCAAAGAGATTGTACCCAGAATTGTAGCTTAAATTAATGAAGGAAAAAGACCTTGCCAGGACCCTTGAGAAACCATAGACAAATCCCTAGCTTAGTTTCTAGGACTTATCTGAGAGTGTGATCTTATACAGTAGTAAGAAGATTATTTTAAAACCATCCCTATTCTCTGTTGTCATTAGCCTTGTGCAATTGGTATTTCTTCTAATTTTATGTAGTAAGGTTTTTTATTCCATTCTCTCTTGATGTTTCTTCCTTCCATTTTTATTATTTTGGTCTTGGCCCTGAAGTGATTCACTTACCTTTCAATTTGTGTGTGTGTGTGTGTGTGTGAGAAAGAGAGAGAGAGAGAGAGAGAGAGAGAGAGAGAAAGTCTTGCATGGCACTGTTAGTCTTGACTAAATGTCCTATGTATATTAATATTACTTCTCACTTGTAGGGGATTATGAGATTTTAGTAAAATGTTGAAAGTAAAATACCAGGTAATTTCCATGCAGACAAGGGTGATGAGGGTTTGCTCAAATAGCAAATCAACCCAGCAGCAGGGACTGAAGGGAAACAGAGATAATGGAGTTTATGGATGTGAAATCTGACTTGCCAAAGTCCCCTAAAGAGCAATATTGTTCAGTGGTACCAACAAACCCACGGGGGTAGTGTGGGGGGGAACATGGTGACATATTGTAGCAACATGTTGGGAAAATCATTCCCTTTGCTAAAGAAACAAACTAACAGTTTCCTGCATACCAACTTGAAAAGCAACAATCTACCTAACCCATCCCACTCCACAGACTCAGACTGGAGGAATCCCACAGTCCCCATCTTCAGATAGGCTAAAGTGACATTTCTCAGAGTCTTCCTCAAGCATTTGCTTCAAACGGTGCCAGGCCTGAGCTTCTTATTGTTTTCAGCTTTAGTAAAAAGTGATGAGGTTAGGAAGGCAGACTGTACACATGTCAGATTGACATATCCCTACAATTTGCAGAACCTACATGTACAGCTGTTTACAAAATCTCCAAGTTAATTAAGTGCACTTTAGGAAGTTGTCCTCGTGAATCAGCTAACATTAGCATAATTACTAAAGTCTCATGCTGTGAGGAGGCTAAAAAAGCCAGGCTGATGTCGGAAGTAATAATACATATAGAATTCCATTCTAATAAATGCCATTAGTGTATAACATTAAGTTCTGTATAATAAGGCTATTCCCAAGTCCCAGAAGGTGGTCATTGAAACAGCACTTTGCTGAGAAAGTTTTAACAAATCATATTAACCAAAAAACCTATAACACAGATGCATTCCGCAAACCATGTATAAATCAATCACTATAATAAATGTATCATTTGGTTGAGTCACCATTTTTTTGTTTTTGTTTTTGGGTTCTTTTTTTAAGATTTTATTTATTTATTTGACCAGGAGAGAGAGACAGTGAGAGAGGAAGCACAAGCAGAGATAATGGGAGAGGGAGAAGCAGGCTTCCCGCTGAGCAAGGAACCAGATGCGGTGATCAATCCCAGGACCCAGATCATGACCTGAGCCAAAAGCAGACCAACCTCATCCCTGACCTCCCCAAGGGCATGCTGTCTCCTGTGCGCTATCTATATTTGTGAAACAGACCAGTTTCTACTTGTCATTGACATGCTTTCTTCCAGGACCTCTCTCCCCCACTTATCTCCTTGCCTAAACAGTGTGATCTCCAGCAAATGCAAACTAAATCTAGCATTAGCTTAAACCAAACATCATTAAGAATGTGAAATGGTTGCCCTACTACAATTTTCTGAACACACACTAAGGCATTTGAATTTTTTTTTTTAGCACTGTAGCCCAGCACCACTTACACACACACACACACACACACACACACATACACAAACAGAGAGAGAGAGAGAGAGAGAGAGAGAGCAGGGATGCTCAGAGACAGTTGAAAGGAGAGGGGTGCCAAGGTCTCATTACACCACAAACTTATTCTTAGTTAGGGAGTTGCTCTTGGTGGCTGTGTCTACATGGGCCTGATACCCAATGACGATCTTCGTGGAGAGGCCCAGGCGCTCTTTGTAGACTTGCCCAATGTGCAGCACGCATGCCTGGTTCTCTGCCTCCCTCGTCCACACGGCGATCTTGTCCCCCTTGGTTCGGATGTTGATGACAGCCCCACACACCTCCCGGCTGTGCTCCTTGAAGCTCTCCCCGATCAGGCACAGCAGAGTCTCCAGCCATAGGCAGTCCAGCTGGCTGTGGCGCTGCTGCTTGGCGAGACTGACCAGCCAGCGGCCACCCCTCTTAATCCTGCTGTCATCCCACATGGGCTCAATGCCATCCTTGAACAGGGCGTAGTCACAGCCGGAAGAGAGCTTACTGGCCAGCTGGATGTGACTGTACATTGCCCAGAAGTCCTCCACAATGTCAAACTTGGTGACCAGATGCAGGTTGTCCTGCCAGGTGCAGCTGTGGTCATTCTTGAAAAACCACAGCGCCCACCTGTTCAGGAGCGGGTATAACTCCAACTTGACCCCCTGGGGGGCCCCATCCTGGGCCTTCCTCCTCTGGGACAGCAGGGCCCCGGGGGGATTCAGAGCCCCCTCTGCTACCAAGACCGGCCCTGCTGCCCCCTCTTTCTCTTCCTTTTTCTCCTCCTTCTCCCCCCACTTTCGGATTCCACCCTCAGCCTCTCTGGCAGGGCTGGTGGCGGCCATAAGGCAACCCCAATAAAAATGCTAAGGTTCCCCCATGCTAAGTTTCAAATAGGCTCAAAATAATAATAACTAATATATAGCATTGACTCTGTCCAGCTCTTGTTCTAAATGTGGTACCACTACTAAATCATTCAATCTTCTTAACCATCCTCCAAAGTCGTCATTATTCTTAACATTTTCACCATTTTCCAGATTAGGAAAATAAGACATAATAATCATTAACTTGCCCTAGGTCACTGAGAGTGCAAAGATTTCCTAAGTTAGGCTACTGGAAAGGACTCACCATGCTCCACAGAGCCTATTCATACCCACATACTCATATTCATACTCACACTCATCCTCACTGTTTTTATTCAAAGGTAATGGACATAACACAGGAAGAGGAAGACCCCAGGCAAGCACTGAGGGGTCTGACTGGCATCCCATGAACAAGCTGCCAGCCTTCTTAGTCACACAAGGATCTGATCATACTCTGTTTAAGGACTGAACCATTGAAATCTAGGCAAGGAACTCAGATTGCAAGAGAGCTCAAAACTTTATTTCCCAGCAGAGGTCATAAACCCCTCTAGCCACACAAGGAAGGCAGGCTGACTAATCAGTTAGAACAGTAGAAAAACTTAAGCGAAGAGCAACTCTGGGGGTCACCAAAGGAGTTGAGCCCTTGAAATACCATATCATAAATCCCATCACCCTTATCTTAACCCAAAGTCAAAACCCAGACATCCAGGGATCCCCAGAGGCAAAGACTGAGATTTTTCCCTACCACTTTTCTTGTTTCCCCTACACCTGCTAACCCACATATCTCTTCTCTGGATCCCTGATAGAGCCATGTTCATTAGTCATTTGAGAAGTCAACAAGTAGTCTGGTGACTAACTGGCTAATTGATGGTGCACAGATATATGAAAATTCTTCCTCAACCCCCAGCTGGGTCTGATCCCAGTAATCAATTGTCAAAGGTATAGCGCAGAATGGGCTGGTTACAAGGGATGTATCTTGAAAAGATCCCAGAAAAGGAAGAAGGAAGCAAGAAGTCTCTCAGCAGAAGTTCTACACTTCATAAACATTACATTATTAAAGAAGTAAAGCAACATCTCTTTATACAAGTAAGTTTTTTTCTGTGAGTCAGAGTGTTTATTCAACAAGCAATTTCCTCTGACTCCCTGAAGGCATCTTCAAGTATTATTTGCTCAAAAGTGATTACAAAAATTACATCTTCTATTACTTTCACATGTAGCCCTCCAAATTCTGCACAACCTATAAGCTGTCTAGTAGTCCTAAAAAAATGCCCAGGTCTGTTTTACATTGTTAAACTGTATCAACATGCTTTTGCTGACTAAAACTAAGTGACTTAAAATAATAATCAGGATTCTGTAGGTTGCCAATTTGGGCTTGGTTCAGCAGGTGGTTCTTCTGGTCTTAGCTGGGCTAGTCCATGCTCTATAGTCAGCTGCTGAATTGGCTGGGGGCTGCTGGTCTAGAAGTCTCAGATGGATTGGCTTCTGTCATCCATATAACCTCCTATCCCGGGCTTGGAGGCTGCATAGGGTTCCTAGAGAGAGAAGGCAGAAATGAGCATGGTTCTTGAGGTCTAGGCTTAGAATTCTATTAGCCAACTCACAAGACCAGCCTACATGCAAGGGCCAGAGAAACAAAATATACCTCTTGATAGGAGGACTGCAAAGTCACATTGCCAAAGTAGTGGGTACAGAAAGGGGAAAGACTGTGGCCATTTTTGTAATTACCCAGACAGGATATTACCAGATAAAATACAGGACATCTAGTCAGTGAGTATTGTTTTAGTATAGGTATGTCCCATGCCATATGTAGGACTTATTTATACCAAAAAAATTATTTATTATGTATCTAAAATTCAAATTTAATTCAATTCCTGTATTTTTATTCACTAAATCTGGTAATCCTACACATAGACCATGCCAAAAATAAACAAAACCTTTCTTTATCTAAAAGAACTTTGGGGTGCTTGGCTGGCTCAGACAGTAGAGCATATGACTTTTAATTTCAGGGTTGTAAATTTGAGCTCCATGTTGGGCATAGAACCTACTTAAAAAAGAGAGAGAGAGAGAACTTTGAACTTGAAATTACTGCTAAAGTGTATAACTATATCAAATGTTGTATTAGAATAGCCCAAAACCCTAAGTCACCCACAGAAAAGGAATAATTTGTACCCCTACTCATATTCTAGGGACCATCTTTGGTGAAACACTGCTCATAAATAACCCTAAAATAATATATGACAAACTGTTTCATTTCAGTTATGC